TCCCGGAGGCAGGCCTCAGCGATGGTGCCCAGACAAAGGGCACCACAGAGCCCTCTGGGATGAGAGTTCTGGGATTGAGTTATCGATCCCACCCAGCCCCCGTGGTCTGACAGGCCTAACAGGTTAACACTAGGGAGCGTTCACATGATGGTCTCTACTGACCCACATGCAACTTCACATAAAGAGAACTGTTTCAAGGAAAGCAGAGTCAACACACCTTTGCTGAGTACCTAGCTAGGTACTGTTGATCCATCCATTGTTAATACCACAAGCACTGTTTCTATGGCTCCATACCCAACAGAAGCAAAAGGAGAATGAAAGGTTCACTTTTTCATTATTTGTAATACAAGGGCACAGGTTAAAATTATATTTGAAATACTTGTTAGAAACACTTTTAAATACTTCCTGGTGATCCCAAAGATGGGCTTTTACATTTCAAGAAGTCAACACCATAGTCAAACAATCAAACAAACCAAGAGACAAATAAGGCTACTGTTGGTCTGTAAGATAAGGCAAAAGCCAATCCTCCAGGGAACCTGTGCCAACACAATGTATTGTTTGGGGTTAGGAGAAAGAATGTTTAATAAATCATCGACTATTGTTTCCATGGTTACAACAGATGTATAGTCACCTATATTGTTTAGCTTGGTGTGATCAAGCTTGATCAGTCCTATAGGAAAGAAATGATTAAGGGTCTTGGTGATAAGCAAATATGGAACTCAGTTTACTTAAAGGCTGGCAGACTATCCAAAAAATCTGAAATAAAATAGAAATTTAAGTCTAATCAAACAAATTATCAGTCTCCAGACTTCTTGGTAGCCAACTTCGTTTGATTCCAATGAACTTGACTGCAGCTCCATAACATGCTCTCTTCTTTTTATAGCATGCTCTTTCCTTTTCACTGAAGTGGCTGCTTTTCAGCAAAATTACTTGGCAAATACTGCTTTATCAAGTATAAATCAGATATGCTACTCTGGAATCTAAACCCACAAAGGATATGCCCCAGAACACTACATAATAATGAAAACTAGAAATACCGCATCATTGCTGCCAAAAGAAATGGAAAAATATGAATGAGAATGATCCCTGGGTGTGTCTTCCACGAGATTCCACTTAAATAACATTCTCCACTTATTTAAATCTCTACAATCTGATGGGCTTACACAGTGCAAAACAAAATCACATTTTAGGAGGAAATTAAAATGTTCTGAACTGCTCTGGGTGGTGCTGGCATTGTGGAAGGAATGGTGAGTACTAACCACAGTCAGAATCTCTCTCCCTCCAGTTGGCAGATACCATCTGAGGTTTCAAAGCACTGTGCTAAGGGAGTTCAAACTGGAGACTCAGGGGCTTCTCCCCAGCTCCTCCCTCCAGATGCATCCCAGAGGGAGCCAGGCAATTGTGTAGGGGAACGATGATGTAGGTGCAGACCTGCTATGACTTTTAACCCCCAGTCCTCTTGCCCTTTAAAACACCCCCCACCTCCAGACCCAGCCTCCTACTGCCATCCTTACTCACTGTGAACAGTGCTGCCTAGTTCTCCTGGAATTCTTTTCTGAAGTAGAACTACCTTCCTTTTCTTGGACTCTCTGGTCAGACTGATGGCTGAGCGCTCTCTCCTGTGACTGAGGTTACAATATTTTCTATTTTCCTACAAAGAGGTAAGTGTACAAAAAAAAAAAAGACAATATTTTTCCATCTCTAGTAGTTTTCTAAATCTTAACGAGAAAGAAAAACTTCCTTTCCTATGACTGTTCTTTTTTTTTTTTTAAATAAAGGACTGGCTTTTGTTCTTATTTTGTAATGTTAGTGATTTGTTTGCTTATGGCTGTGCTGGGCCTCCACTGAGACATGCAGGCTTTCTCTAGTTGCAGCAAGTGATGGCTACTCTCTAGCTGCAGCGTCCACTTTCTCACTGCAGTGGCTTCTCCGGTTGTGAAGCAAGGGCTCCAGGGCACGGGCTTTAGCAGTTGCAGCACGTGGGCTCCACAGTTATGGCTCACAGCCTTAGTTGCTCCTCGGCATTGGGATCTTCTTGGACAAGGGATTAAACCAGTGTCCTCTGCCTTACAAGGCCAACTCTTAGCCACTGTACCACCAGGGAAGCCCTACTGGGTTTTCTTTTTAATTTGAATACATTAGGTGCCATTAGAGACCATCCTGGACTCAGTTTCCCCAAGACACAGAGCAAGGTTGAGCACTAGGAGGTCATCAGGTATGGGTCTATCAAGAGCATGAGTCAAGCAAATGATGTGAGCCCAAAGGCACACAGGTTATCTGGGCATTATCCCCTAAGCCTGGAAATGTGGCCAAGCAACACAGTTCTGTCTCTATCACCAATGGCTGAGCTGTTGGTTCACAGGCAGCTGAGAGTGGCCTACCCACAGTACATTTCTTGGTAGAGTGGTGACTGCAGGTAGGGCAAGAGTAAGCAAGAATGATCATCTGGACATGCAGGGTTGTAGCTCTTCTTGAGGAAAGCAGATTTCACATCAACCCCTGGGGGTGGGCGGGGGGTGTGTGTGGCGGGTGACTGTCACAAAGCTGTCCTCATCATGACTGACAACTTGACAGCCATCTCCAAAGCTAACAAACTGAGAAGGGGAAGAACATGCAAGGCATGACTGCTCTCTTGCTCCACAAGGTCTCTAAGTAGCCTATGTGCCGTCAACAATCACTCACCATCAACAGAGGTCTAGAGCTCCATGAAACAGGGTTTGAGCAGGGTAAGAGATGAATGAAAGTAAAACACTGTCCATCACACTCACAGACCAGAAGAGAACAGAGATGATTTTGGCGGTGGGTGAACTACAGACTTACCTGTTTCCATTGCCAAGTCCCATGAGGCCCATCATGGCCTGAGATCTTCACCAAAGCTCAATCATGGCTTTGACTTCACCAAAGCCCCAACTGTAGGACTTGAGCCGAGGAGAGAACCTAACACTGATGAACTTGGCAGGTTCAAGGTGCAATATTCATTGGAAAGACCCAGACTTTTCTCTTAAGGACAGAGGATGAAGAGGCTTTCATTTCTCTAAGAAAAAGGGGTGACTCTTTAGGTGAGTGAGCCAAAATGCTGAGATTTCTATATCTTCCAAGGAGATCTCTAAGTACTGTAAACTTTTGCCCCTAGAAACAAACCTGTAAGTTTATGTGGCAGAGATTCACCTTCAAGTCACAAGAAGATCTAGACCATCAAATTGAGTTTAGAGTGATATTTTAATCCCTCACACTCTAATTAATCAAGTGACTACAAGGTATAAGCAGAATCCATGTAACATACACTCCCTTGTCTGGTCTATTTGAATAGATAACAGTACAGAGCCCAGCCTGTTCTAGGCCTCATCCCTAGGTGATGACCCTCTGGCTAGATGGAAAACCAAGGAAGGCAGCTCACATTCTCAGAAAGGGAGTTCCTCAGTGACAGCCTCAGCTCTCTCCAACAAGCTGTGATAAGATCCACAAATGCACCAAGCACATCTTATTTGTTGGCTCCATTAGGAATGCAATGATGCACTAGACAAGTGACCAGCCCTCTGGTGCTTACGTTTTAGTAGGGAATAGAGAACAGTTTACACAAATAACTTGTAAACATGGAGAAAGATACATGTCATAAAGGGGAGGAATAAGTTATTTTCAGCTTAGATAGGAAAGATCAGGAAGAAATGGGAAGTATGCTTTGAACAACTAGTAGGTATCCAGTTGGACAAGATGCTAGGGATACAGTGACACATATAAGTCATGCGCTGCACTCTGAGGGGTGTAGTGCATCCAATAGACAACTGTTTACAATAGCCGTGATGTAGAAGACTGAGAATGGACACATGTGAAAAGTGCCTGAGGAATGAGAAAGAGGAGCTCTTTTGCCGAAGTGAAGAGATGAATTCACTAGAGATGTTATCTGAGCTGGTTACTGAAAAGGTAAACCCACACTTCACCAAGCAGAAAAGAGAAAAGAATTCCAGGGATCTCCACGAGGGCTCTTTTTTTTTTTTCCTTCCCTACCAGCCTTGATTCTTGAGGGTCCAGCACTGCCTGAAACATCATGGATGCTCAATCAAGGTTATTGAATGAGTCAGAGAATTAGGACACAGATGGACAGAATACCCTTTGGGGGCAAAACTGTAATCAGGGGAGTCACTGCAAAGATTCTTGTTTTTGAAAAATGCTTCCAGCAGTCTAGAGCGTGGGAGTGAGCTGGCTCCATCAGGGAGAAACTAGAAGGGTCGGGTAGCAGAATGCTATACATGGTCTGAAGGGCCGGGAAGACCGGGATGTGCAGAGATGATCATAGAAGGCAGTTTCCAGAAATTTTTCAGATGCTAAATACAGGGATTCATTACCAAAAAGATACTTTTCAGGGTATTTGTCTCTCTCTCTTTTTTAAAGGCATTACCTTTTTTTCTGGAAATATTTTCTGGACTTGTTTTCTGGAAATAAAGAGCTTTTCATAACACATACTAATGATTTAAAAATAAGCTATATACAAAACCAAAAGACTTTGATACAACTAAACAAGGTCAGTGGCTACCCATCTGAGGAATCCTGGCAACTTTGTAAATATCAACTCAGTCTGGGGGCTGGGCCCTGGTGACAAATGCATTTTCCAATTTCATGGAGAATGAGATAAGACAGCGCCAAGGTTGTGCAAGGATACAAAATCGCAGAGTACAAAAACTGGAGGTTTTAAACACTATTTTTTAAAGCAGCAGAACCCTTACCTTAAAATCATAGGCCATAACCGGCAGACAAATCAGATATGCAACAAGAACGTTCGTTTGAGACGGCAGAGTAGGGGCTGGGGGACCCTAGGGGGCATCATTTTCTGTCCTCTCTCAGCCCTGGAGGCAGCCCACCGAGACCCTGAATGCACCCACCCTGAAGTCCCCCTGGGACACCAAGTACTCTCCTCAATTCAGGAAGACTTCCCAACTGGCCCAGCTTCCACACCAGAGATCTGGGTCCTCAGAATGACAAGATGTACTCCAAAGCCATCTGGATCAGACTTCCGGCTGCTGCTTGTATAACCACCAGTAGGTCTGGAAATATGAATCACGGACGACAAAGGAAAACTCCCCAAATCTGTCCACACGTGGGAGAAGTGAGAGTGGCACCAGGTGGCTCCTCTTGATGAGTCCTGGAGCTGGGGTTCTGCAGGTGAGATGCTGAGAGCCCTGGGGCAGCACCATGCCCAGGCACTCACACACATGGGGGAAGGCTGCAGCCGAGCCAGAGCCCAAGGCCCCAGGACTTCGACAGGGCTCTGAGGCATGGTGGCTGTGTCTGCCAGGGTCCCTTATGGAGCTGCTGCTTTCAAGGGAAAAACTGAAACTGGGCATATCCTGTATCTAGCACCCTGGCATCTGCGTGCAATGCGAAGCAATGCATTGTGGGGTGAATCCAAGGACGTTTGGATCTTTAGCAGAGACTGACAAGCTCATTTAGTAGCATCCATTCACAGTCCACCAGAAAATGCTGAATCTCACTTATAGACATGGTGAAATTCAGGCAAAGGCAGCCAAACAGCGCTGAAAGCTATTTTGGACGTGCATATTTTAACACCATAAATCTGTATTTTTCTTAATAAAAGAAAAATTATCTGTTACAGCAGAGACGGACCTATGAGAGAGGTTGTAATCCCCATTTCAGAGATGGAGAAACTGACAAGGGCAGGCTTCAAGACAGGGAATGAATGCCGGATCTTCCTCCTGCACAGCAGCCATGGAGCAAACACAAAGGGCTTCCACAGTCAGCGAAATGCAGCCTCTGGGTGCCTAGGGAAGGCAGTTCGGAGTCATTAAAAATCAGTCCTGTCACATCCCCAAAGGACATCTGGATAAACACGCACTGGGGAGACATGACTAGCGGGCTTACCTGAGGAATTTAATCCAAGGGTGCTTTAAATTCACAGTACTTCTGCCCTGGTCTGCGCTTTCCCTACTGATAGAGTGGCAATTCTCTAAGCACTTCACAGGAGAATTTACCTTTCATGTCTTTCTCATAAACCCTTTCCAGGAAATAAAAATTAAGGCCACTAATTGTATAAACCACCCCATCTAAACAGTCTTTCCCCATTCTTTCTGATTTTCTTTTCCTGATTCCTTTTTAAATGGATTTCACACTCTAAAGGTTGCAGGCTGACATCCTCAGGGACCAGTCTTATCCATTTACGTGTAGGATTCAGAGAAGATGCTCGCCCTCTCTGCACACAGACTCTAAGCTGATGGAGAGGAAGGAGGGAGTGGCGGATAGCAAGAGAGACAGCAGGGTTACCAGAATCCAGGGCTGTCCTACTGAAAAGCAGTGCCCACGGTAACAGCAAGTCTACTCCTAAACTGGCCTATTATCAAGGCTTCTTTGAAATAGCGGGGAACTACTTTCTAAAAGGGGTCTTTCTTGGGAGCTCAGTCATAAAGAATCTGCCTGCCAAGCAGGAGATGTGGATTCGATTCCTGGATGAGGAATATTCCCCTGGAGAAGGAAATGGTGACCCACTCCAATATTCTTGCCTGGGAAGTCCCATGGACAGAGGAGCCTGGTGGGCTCCAGTCCATGGGGTCGCAAAGAGCCAGACATGACTTAGCGGCTGAGTATACTTTCTAAAACATGGATTTGAATATGCGGCAACGTCTTTCATACTTGCATTGAATACAGTAGAATGAGAAAGAAGCTCAACAAACTCCAAATTCTTTCTGATTCAGAGGTTTCCTCCAAACCCCTTAGCGTAAGGGTATTCGCTCTGCAATTTGGTCCCGGGTCATCTCTTCAGCCCCCATATTCTCCTCTTCCCCATCCCCCCAAGATTCCCCCCCAACATCCTACAACCCAACTGCACCACTGTTTTATCCTTTGTCCTAAAATGCCCTTCTCCAGACCTCCACCCCCCTCACCTGATTTAAAAGCCCAGCCCCTCCTTGGCAAAGCCTTTCCTGAAACCCACTAGCAGGTCTAGCAGGTCTGACTGTTCTCCACGCAGGGAACCGCACACCTCACAAGCCCCTCTAGTCTCCACTCCCATTCACCATGTACAATTACTTGTGGAGAGTCAGCTCTCCCCACTAGGCGATGAGTTTCTTGACAGCACAGCCAATGTCTAATTTATCTTTGTGTGGTCTGGAAAACTCTGGAAGCAAAGTGCCAGACACACAGCAGGTAGTCAGAAAATGTATGCTGAAAAAAAATGGAGACTGTACTCCTAGCTTGATTCAGCAAAACAGACCGTTTGAGTGACATAGTCGGATGTGTGAAGAGTTCATTGCAATAGCAAGAAATTGGCAACCATCTAAACAGCCCTCAATAGGATGAAGTGTAAATAATCTGCCCACATTAGGGAAGACTCTGCAATCACCGATAGAGTCTATTGATAGAGGCAGGTCTATGTTACTGACATGGACAAAGGAAATGGAATAGCGTGTGGAAAATAATGGAAAAATAAATAGAGAAGTCTTAGCTATAATTATCCTGGAATAATAAATGATACTGCAAATTTGAGAGGTTAATTCTAATTTTTCCATCCTATGCATTTTCTTAAAAGTTTGAATTTTTACAAATATGTATTATGCTTGGAACTTTCTAAATGGATATTTTTTTAAATTTTTGACAAATTTTAAAAAGGATTTCAAAATTTCTATTAAGTTGAATTTTTTAAAAACTGAAGTACAGTTGATTTACAATGTTGTATTCATTTCCAGTGCACAGTAAAAGTGGTTCAGTTATACATCTACATATACTTTTCCATCATGGTTCATTCCAGGATATTGAATATAGTTCCCTGTGCTATAGAGTAAGACCTTTTTATTTTACTCATTCTGTAAGTGAAATTTAATAGAGGTGTCCAGGTTAACAGTCCTCACAATCAAATCCATCTAGTAGATGAAACACTCTGTTAGGACCCAACAAGTTCCTTAAAATACAAAGACAAAACAGTGGAACCATTCTGTGAGGGCTCAGGACATTTTCCCTCATGTTTTAGATCCGCTTCTCTCTGGCACAAACAATGCTTTGGAAAACTAGCCCCTGCTGGCCTGATATGCAGATTTATTTCAACTCAATGGATATCTACTGGGCATTTCCCATAAAGAAGGCACACATGCACAGCAATGGATGCAAGAGAAAAAGTGAATGACATAGAGTCTAGCATCTCCAGGCTCCTCCTCTCCCAGGGGAGACCAACACCACGCCTTTCAAACAAAGCAGAACAGGAGGAACACCACGCCAAGGAACAAGCAAATGGGAGGGGGAATAGTTTCAACAGGATGACTGGAAGATCTTGGGGAAGAACAAGATGGAAACAGGGTCCAGAAAGTTTAGACTGACCAGCCAGGGATGGGGGAGAATTAGAGAGGTGTCTGCCTTGTCCTGCTATTTTGCTGTCCTGGCACTATGGACTTCTGGCCAGTCCAGTTGGGATATTTAGAAAATCCCAACTTTCAAGGACTTTCTGCATGCAAAGGCAATGCAAGACATTGCCACCAACCTGGAATATAATCCACACCTCACCCCCAAATTCCCAGGCCCGCGTGTCCCACAACTTACTTCCTTCTCCAAGCTCAGTGCCAGCTGCCCCCTCTTCCCTACCCTCATTGCAGCCACCCTGCTCCCCAGGCTCATCCGGCCTCCAGGACTTTTCACTGATGCTTCCCCTCTGCCTGGAGGATTAACACCATCAGACAGGGCCTTTGTCTTGTTGACAATTTTATCCTCAGTGCCGAGCACACAGTAGGAGCTCAGTAAGTATCTTTAGAATAAATGGATAAAGTACAGTTCTAAACTAGAGTAGGAAAGAAGAAACACAAAAGCTTTCCTTGAGTAACTCACCTGGATATATATATGCACACACGCATACATATATGCATTTAAAACTCTATGTGGGCTATAAATCACTTCACCTACCATAAACCACAAGGCACTATACTAAGTATTAAGCCTGACACACTACTGGCCTTCCATTCCCAGGGTACTGATGTAGCTCTCGAATACAGGGTCATCTCAGTATGTGCAAAATGCCTGGGCATTTTAATTCTTACTTCACAGTTTAGAAAACTGATACCCAAGGCAAACAATCTCCTGAGAAGCCAGGAACTAAGCTTCAAAGTCCTGTGCCTGGTTTAAATCCTATTTGCTTATACTAACCCCCAGCTGATATGTTGGTCTTGGAAGAGAATTACTCCTCCAATGCTTAATAACCCACCTGCCAATGAGGGAGATGTAAGAGACGTGGGTTTGACCCCTGGGTCAAGAAGATCCCCTGGAGAAGGGCATGGCAAGCCACTCCAGTATTCTTGCCTGGAGAATTCCACAGGCAGAGGAGCCTGGGGGGCTAGAGTCCATTGGTTCACAAAGTGTCAGACTCGACTAAAGTGACTTAGCACATATGTGCTTAACACCAAGCCATGGGGATTTCTAAGTCTCTGATTATCTAGAAAGACCATCAGTGAACCGTATCAACAAGGGAATGTGGTGAAGACTGGAGGAAAACCTCCCTCCTGGTACAGTCAGGAAAGAACAAGGCAGGTGTTAAACCAAGCAAGTCTTTGCTTTAAAAAGCAAACATAAGTCCTCTTGATTACTGTTATTGGAATGTCTAAACTTTTTAAAATAATAAGTACCACTTAGGAGCAATTGTTATTTCAACTGTGAATTAAGATCACAAGTCTTTTGTTTAAAATGCAATCACGGGTTCTACCAAACCCTTCCAAAGGTGCACGGCTGTGATTTGTTTGCAGGCTATGTATGCTTCAGTGAAATTTTTCATTTCAAATTAGGTTGGTTTATGGCAGAAAGGGCTAAATGAAAAGTTATCATCAGACAGATCAAGAAATGGGGCCATTCTTTACCTAGAAGGAGCAATTAGCTGAAACATCTGGGAAAGTTTATCTTTCATATACTCTCGATTTTAAAAAGGTATGAAAGAATCATTCTAAAAACCTCAAGAACACACCTAAATACTGTGCACCCCAGTGATCATTCCTATCTGCCTATTTATTCAAATTGAAGTAGGAGTTGCAGGTTTTCCTTGACTGAGATACCATTCCTTCCAGTATGGAATTCTACAATGTGCTTCTGGTTCTCAAACTCCCAGCACAGGCAGGTTTGGGCAGATTCATTTTGCATCCATCTATTTACATATAGGCTCTCCTGGTGGCTCAATGGTAAAGAATCCTCCTGCCCATGCAGGAGAAATGGGTTCAACCTCTGGGTCAGACAGATCCCCTGGAGAAGGAAATGGCAACCCACTCCAATACTGTTGCCTGGGAAAATCCATGGAGCCTGGTGGGCTACAGCCCATGGGATCACAAAAGAGTTGGACACGACTTAGTGACTAAGCAACAACAGTAAT